GTTGTTACAAGAGATCATTGTAAAGTAAAATACTTTGAAAGGCTTTTGTTGCCTTTTCCAGTCTGTCAGTGTCAGAAATAGTGGAATGAAATCATGTATTTTGTGAGTAGAGAAAGATTTGGGTCTTTGCATGTTAGATTCAAAATAACAAGTCAAGAGTTTGAAATGCTGTGTTTCTTCTTCATTTCATAGCCATTTGCTATAAATTTTGGCTGAAGGTAAATGGTAAGGGACGTGTTTGTTGTTAGAGATTTTATTAAGTCCTCTACTATACTAGCCATATGCTTTATTCAGAATAGCCATGAAAATTGAACTTCTCTGAAGAATTAATTTATGCCTGTTGTAAAGGAAATAGCTGTGGATTCAGGACCAGCAAAGGCAGATAAGTGTTAGATAAGAAGTTATAGGCTTCCATTATTAGATCCACAAACTAATGTTTCAATTAAACTATAGCTACAATATATAAACCCCAAAATGACCTTAAGGTTTAGTAATGGTAGGAAGAGGGTCAGAAGATGTATAAGTATTAGAGTTTTTTCTTGAGTGAAAGATGGTTTAACAGTGTTAATATGATATGTGAATACCCCTTGTTGTGTAATAATTAGCATACACAGGGAGTAAAGGACTGTGATTAGTGTATTAAACCTTATGAGCATGATGATATGATTAGACCAAGAGAATGAGGCTGTAGTTATGAAGACTACTCCTACTAGATTGATGGTAGGGGGCAGGGCATGGTTGGCAAGACTAGCTAGGAGTCATCACATGGCTATCAGGGAGAGAAGTGTTTGAAGATCCCGTGTTAGTGTATGGTTTGGCTGTGAACTCATTTGTAGTTTGAGTTTGCAAGGCAGAATAATAGGGATGAGGTTAGTCTGTGGGCAATTATTAGGGCAGTTGCAATGCTGAAACTTCAGGAGGTTTGAATGAGAAAAGCATGATAACTAGTGCCATGTGGCTTATGGAAGAGTAAGTAATGAGTGACTTTAGATCAGTTTGGCACAGACAAATGGAGCTTGTTATGATTATAACTCATAAGGATAGTATGAGGGAGCAATAAGCTATAAGTTCTGTTGTGGGTTAAGGATTAAAGTGATTCATATAATCCTATAGCCACCTAATTTTAGGAGTACTGCTGTGAGGACTATTGACCTGGAAATGGGTGCCTCTATGTGGGCTTTTGGGAGTCCTAAGTGGAGTCCATAGAGAGATATTTTTAGTATAAATGCTACGATGCATGCTATTCATAAAAGGCTATTAAACCAGGAAATTGTTAGTTCTTGAAGCTGGGTATTGGTCTTAAGGTGGTCTCAAGAGTGCTGATAAATATATCAAGCATCAGTGTTTGAATAAATGGAGTTTCATATTTGGGTCTTCTGCATATTAGCTGTAGGACACTGAAAATGAATTTGTCATTCTCTGAGCTCAGTTTTTATTTATTTATTTATTTATTTTTGAGACAGAGTCTTGCTCTGTAGCTCTGGCTGGAGTGCAGTGGTGTGATCTCAGCTCACTGAAACCTCCATCTCCCGGGTTCCCGTTCAAGCAGTTCTCCTGCCTCAGGCCCCCAAGTAGCTGGCATTACAGGCATGTGCACCATGCCCAGCTAATTTTTGTATTTTCAGTAGAGAAGCAGTTTCACCACATTGGCCAGGCTGGTCTTGAACTCCTGACCTTGTGATCCACCTGCCTCAGCCTCCCAAAGTATTGAAATTACAGGTGTGAGCCACCACACATGGCTGTTTGTTTAAAATAGAGTAAATAGACCTGCTGAATATGTTGATGAGAGGATTAATTGTAATCTGTGCAGCAATTGTCTGACTATTGCCTTGAACATCACAGACCATCTGAGTGGCGAGTATAATCATCATCATGTTTATACGTAAAATTCAGAAATATCTGAAGCCTGTGTGGCTAAATAAAAGCATACAAATACAATGAAAATATCATTCTAAGTGAGGCTTAGTAAATGGATGAAATAGTTGCTTCATTTGCTGTTATCTATATCTACTTTCCTAGCTCTCAAAAGTCCATGGCCCTGTGTTCACTCTGTATTTTGGCCTGGAACGCATGGTGGTACTGCATGGATATGAAGCGGTGAAGGAAGCCCTGATTGATCTTGGAGAGGAGTTTTCTGGAAGAGGCCGTTTCCCACTGGCTGAAAGAGCTAACAGAAGATTTGGTAGGTGTGCATGTGTCTGTTTCAGCGTCCATCTTGGAGAGAGGGAGGATGGAAAACAGAGACTTGCAGAGCTTCTCAGGCAGAGCTTGGCCCATGCACGTGGCTGCCCAGTGTTAGCTCCCTCTTTCTTGCCTGGGATCTCCCTCCTAGTTTCTGTTTCTCTTCTTGTTAGGAATCGTTTTCAGCAACGGAACAAGATGGAAGGAGATCCGGCGTTTCTCCCTCATGACACTGCGGAATTTTGGGATGGGGAAGAGGAGCATTGAAGATCGTGTTCAAGAGGAAGCCCGCTGCCTTGTGGAGGAGTTGAGAAAAACCAAGGGTGGGTGAACCTACTCCGTATCACTGACCTTACTGGACTGCTCTCCCCTCTACTGACATTCTTGGAAACATTTCAGGGGTGGCCAGATCTTTTATTATGAGTCCTGGTTGTTAGCTCCTTTCAAGCGGGGTTTGAGGCTGAGAGTCAAGGGAATTTGCACATATTTGTGCTGTGTGTGTACAGGTATGAT